AGGGCACGTTAGCGGCATTGCGCCAACACTATTGGATAATCTCTGCACGGAGTGCAGTGAGACAAGTCCTGCATTACTGTCATAAATGTTTTAAAATTAAACCAATTCGAGGAAAATTCAAAATGGGCGATCCGCCAAAGCACAGAGTACAACCGGCGCGACCTTTTACAACCACCGGCGTGGATTATGCTGAGCCAGTCTTAATTCTGGAGACTAACGGTCGCGGCAAAAAATTGATCAAGGCATACATAGTTTTGTTTATATGTTTCGCCACAAAGGCAGTACACATAGAATTGGTAACAGATTTGAGTACTCAAGAATTTCTTGGCGCCCTTAAACGATTTATAAGCAGACGCGGTCATTCACTTCACATCTATAGTGATAACGGATCAAACTTTGTAGGCGCAAAAAACGAATTAAATGAATTATTTGAATTTCTAAAAAACCAGAATTGTCAGAACAAAATCATTGATGATTTGAGTTCCGTAGGCATTAACTGGCATTTTATTCCCGCGAATTCACCACACATGGGCGGTTTGTGGGAAAGTAACATAAAATCAATGAAAACACACTTAAAGAAAATCATAGGAAACGCGCACTTAACTCAAAATTAAATGTATACGCTTTTAGTGCGAATCGAGGAATATCTAAATTCGAGACCGTTAACTCCCTTAACCTCAGATCCTAACGATTTAGAAGTCCTGACCCCCTTCCATTTCCTAATCGTTGAGGCACACACGACGTTCCCGGAATATGATGTCAATCATATTCCAATTAACAGATTATCCAGATGGCAGCTTGTGGAAAGGATTCGAACACATTTTTGGAAAAGATGGAGCCGCGAGTACCTGGCATCATTACAAACACGCAGCAAATGGCAAAGGGAACCCCTTGCTTCGGGCGACCTGAAGGGCAGCATGGTTGTCGTAGCAGAAGACAACATTCAACCTCTCTTTTGGCGAATCGGCAGAATAGTGGGTACCCACCCCGGAAACGACGGCCAAGTGAGGGTAGTGACTATCAAAATAAACAACGGGTTGATAAGGCGAACATTACGCAAGATATGCCTTCTACCCATTGAAAAGGATAAGTTACGTGTAAGTGAACGTTACCAACAGTGCGCGAACAATGTGAAGGACCTGACATAAACAATATTTGAATTAGCAGTCATTTAGTAGTTAGTAGACAAACTGTTAATAATTAGATTAAGAATAAGCAGTTTAAAGGTACAATTTAATTTGTAAATTACATTTTTAAGTTTAAGTATAATGTAATTATTGTATTAAATTTTAAATCTAAGTTTTTAGCTTCAAGGCGGGGAGCATGTACGGTTTTACGTACAATAAAGTTTATTTGTTACTCTAAGAACTGGGTACCTGACCAAGGGATGGGTAAAACCGTCCCCGGTTTAGTAGGTAGTGAAATTGTAGGAGAACATTTATATTTATTGTAAGTAGTCTGTAAGCAGAATTCAGTCATTAAACATATTTTCAAGCATCAACATCGATTCATTTTCAACGCATCTTAAGTTCAACATCTCATATTCATCAATCAGTACATTATTCGAACATACGACCTAACGGTCCAACAAAATCGATAGCGTTAAAACGTCTTACCGCGATAGAATATAAATTTAAAACCAATGAAATGTTGAAAAAGGAATACACAGAGTTTATGCGCGAGTACGAAGATTTAGGACACATGTCGGTTAAGGACAATTTAAATTTCAGGCAGGATACAATTCTTAACTCATACATATTACCGCATCACGCAGTTATTAAACAAGCCAGTACAACTACAAAATGTCGAGTAGTGTTCGATGGGTCAGCTCGAACAGGTAACAATGTATCGTTAAACGACGTACTAATGATTGGTACTCCAATACAAGATGACTTATTTTCCATAGTACTAAGATTACGATTAAGACGTTATGTATTAAACGCAGACATTAAAATGATGTATAGACAAATTCTGGTACACGAGGATGATCGCAATTTTCAACAAATTTTATGGCGGTATAAGGAAAACGATCCAATGCGCATTTACGAGCTTAACACTGTGGCATATGGAACAGCAAGCGCGCCTTTTCTCGCAACTCGATGTTTACAGCAATTAGCAATAGATAATGAAAATTCATATCCCAGGACATGCAAGATAATTAAAAATTCGTTTTATATGGATGATCTATTGGTCAGTTTAGACTCAATCGATGAAGCTCTGGAAGTTTATCGTGAAATTACTAAAATCTTGTCAACCGAAAGATTTCAATTACGAAAATGGTCGTCCAACGAACAAGAGATTTTGAAAACCATCTTAGGGAACAAATCTAACGATGACAAATTAGTTTTAATTCATGATAATAAGGAATTAAAAACGCTCGGTATAGTATGGGATAGTAATTCAGACACGTTAAGTTATGCCGTGAACATTTTGTTACACAAGTCATCAGTCACAAAACGATCAGTATTATCCATCATTAGACTAAATTATTGGCCTATTAATGGAAAAAACGCTGTATAATCAGTAATCGGTTCATGTGTCCGATGTGCTCGGTTAAGAGCAAAAACAGAAACATTCCTTATGGGGAATTTACCATCTGCACGAGCTACGCCTAGTAGACCATTTTCCAAATGCGGAGTCGATTACGCTAGTTCTATTTTCATTAAAGAGGGTTCTATACGTAGCAAGAAGGTGGTGAAAACTTATATTTGCGTTTTTGTATGTTTTGCCGTACGGGCGGTGCACATTGAATTAGTTAAGGATTTAACCACGGATAGTTTTTTGAACGCACTCAACCGGTTCATTTCCCGACGACGAAAACTGAGTGATATTTTTTCTGATAATGGTTTAAACTTCATAGGAGCTAATAATCATTTCCTTGAGTTGCATAATCTTATCTCAGATAAAACTCACAATGAAAGAGTTTCAACTTATTTATCCAAGGACCTCATTAAGTGGCATTTTAGCTCTCCACGAGCACCACATTTCGGTGGTTTATGGGAAGCTACCGTAAAAGCTACTAAATTTTACTTAAGGCGTACCCTTGGTAATACCGCAATGTCTTACGAAGAGCTATAAACCATTCTTACGCAGATTGAGGCATGTCTAAATTCCCATCCTTTAACCCCTCTGTCTGCCGATCCCGATAATTATTTACCGTTAACCCCTTCCCATTTTTTAATTGGCGACTCACTCGCGACTGCCCCTCAGCAAGTAGTGGAGGAAATGACAATCAACCGGTTGTCCCGTTACCAACGCATGCAGCAGCTAGTACAGCAGTATTGGCGTCCTTGGCCCTGTGAATATTTGGTTCAATTACAGCAGCGAGGCAAATGGAGGTCAAACGTTACGAATACTCTTCAACCAGGTGCATTGGTGGTACTAAAGGAAGACAACCTCCCTGTTCTTCAGTGGTCTATGGGCAGAGTGTTAGAAGTGCATCCCGGTACCGATGGTACCATACGAGTAGTGACAGTGAAATTAGCTAATGGTAAATTGTGTAAGCGCTCGCTGAGTTCTATTTGCATTTTACCTGTAGAAACTCACTCATTCGACAGATAGTGTATCAGTGGGATAATCTAAATTATGAATTAATATAGTTCATAGTCTCATAGTTTTAATAGCTACAATAGCTAGCATTGAAAGTCTGGCCTTTCAAGGAGAGCGGCATGTACAGTATCCTGTGGATATCTAAATATAAGATTTATATTAATCACTTATTTGTAAGTTTAGGGCTAAGTAGTTCTTTGTATTTAGGTATCTTTTACAACCTTGTTTACTTGTTAACACCATTATGCTATTAGGTATACAATAGCAGGAAGGACATTATCGTATAACCCTACGGTTGCATCTATAATCGTACTGCAATTTCCTGTAATTTGTAATAAAATGATTTAAAAGTTTTGGACCTAAACCAGGTAACTCGGGTTTTCCGATAATATTCCCTAGCGTATCTCTACACATTATAAATAGCCATGTAGCAGGCCTTTGGTCAGTTAGAAATAAATGATCAAAGTAAGCACTTCAATCAGTCTACGAATACAGTCCACAAAGTAAATAAACTAGTGCAAGCAACAAGAAATTCATCATTCCAAACCCAAACATTTTGGTTTACTACTAACACATTTAACCAGATTTTGCTTCATTTGCGATATCTACCTGGCCTTCCTGGGAACATTTGAACCATTGATAAACTCATAGCTTTGATACAGTATCGCCTTCTTTAACGTTTTGAAGGCTTAACTTGAACTTAATTCCGTCTTTAACAAAAAATATCAGGCAAACTCTTTGATCCGACATTTCTCCACACAAAAAATCGCCAAAAACACTGAGGTAAATCTTACTAATTCGCTCACTAAACATAAACAAATCGTAGCAGATGCCTAAAAATTGACAGGTACGTGCTTTATTTGTGTATGAGTAGCACTACATCACTACACTAGTGCTATAGGTAGCACTATCAGTGCTATAAAAAAATCAACTCGACAGAAAAGATACAACACGCGCAGTTTGAAAATTCCTGTTACCTTTGATCAAACTTAGTAATTTGTATTTCATAATGTCGTGGTCATAATGAAAGATAATTTTATTATTTTCAGACAATTGCACAAAAATTGCAAAAAGTTATTGTTATTATAGGATTTTGATATAAACATAACCTAACTATTTCAAAAATGTATCAAATTATAACAAATCCATAATAAAAGTATTTTTTTTAGAAAAGAACATTGTAATCTAAAATTAATATTCAGCCAACTTCTCATTTCACAGCGCCTTCTATGTATAAAAAAATTAAATATTACTTGTTCACAATATTCCATTTTCTAACAAAATTCGATCTGCGTCGGAAATTGTTTACGTTTGATACATTTCTTAAATATTGAAAATGCACTTACAAATACAATAATGAAACGCTATTAAAATGAAATCTATATTTCACATTATGTTGGATTTTTGTATTTCACCCACAACATACACACTTTACAAACTTGTCTCTACAGGTTATGGTTCTGTCTTAAACTTGGATGGAGAAGTCGAAATGGACGCAAGTATTATGGTTGGTTCTAATTTAACCGCTGGGGCTGTTACTGTAGTTAAAGACATAGCTCATCCAATAAGGTAGGTAAGTTCTAAACATAAAATATATTTTTTACCTTCTTTGTGTTTGGTTTGAATTGCTTATTGGGCCAATTCCCACATAGCAACGCCGCAGCAGCGCGGCAGCAGCGCCTCATAGCGTCGCTGCGATGAAAAAACTTGGTAGGCATTCCCACTTAGCAATACAGCAGCAGCGCAGCGGTTAATATTTTAGAACAGTAGTATTTCGAGTATCTAATAGAACAAACGTATTTTATTTTAAAAATTTCGAGATCCTCGTCTAGTGATGATGATGTATTTGTTGTTGCGTATTACAACATGAGAAAGAAAGAAATAAAAGATATTGGGCGCACGATTTGTGGAAACACAGGCTAGAGGAAGGTCAGTTTCATTTAATTGCGGGAAAATTGGTGGAAGATGAAGTTAAATTTTATAAATATATGAGAATGTCACAAAAAATTTATTGAACTCGTAGAAATAGTTTCTTTCTATTTGGCACGACGGGATACCAAATGGAGATCATATATCGAAGTTCGTGAAAAAGTGACAGTATTCTTAAAGTAAGTATTTAATTATTATAGACTTTGGACTTCGTAAAGTCACATAATTCCGACATTTGATTAAACAATATAATAAAGACATACAATCACTTTTTTGTGTAGTTTTGTTATCGTTAAAATGGTCATCGAGATTTGCCGAAGACACAGCAGTGTTTGCTGCTTCCTAATGTCCACTTGGCAGCGCGACGAAGGTCAGAGCAGCATGAACGCTCTCAGAGGCGTTGAATTTTGACGCGCTACGCTGCAGCCGGGATGTGCTGCATATGTAGGAACTGTTCCATTTAAAAATGGATATTTTTAGGAGCAGCATTTGCAGCGACGCATCGCGCTGCTGGGGCGCTGCTATGTGTGAATTGGCCTATATACATATAGACGAGTTTTTTTCTGAAAAAGAAATCAAAATATTTCGCAAAACGTCGATTCTAAATCTATTTAGTGTGGGGACACACGCTCCCTGGTACGCTTCTGTGTTTTTAGAAAATAATATTTACAAATAAGAAATAGTATAGAAGCAGATTTGCCTGTTTCAGGAGTACCTGTCAGTGTCCTAATGAATAACGACCCTTCTAGGTAGAATTACAGAAACACTGACCGTACCCTTAGGCAGGCAATCTGGGAACATTCGGGAGTTGACCAGCATATTGAGCGGTTGTAACCCAGTACTTATTATTTCATTTTTTTGGCAATCAGTTGCATAATAAAGAGTTAGAGTGCTACCTGGCGTGATATTTATTTGGTGGAGAACGAACAGTGGTAACCCCGACGTGATCTGAAAAACGAACCAGAGAAATTTAGTGAAACGACATCATGCCTAACACCCCCGATGCCAACAACAGATCGAACCTACCATCAGTGGAACATGTCTCTGTGAGAGTACCTCCGTTTATTCCATCAAACCCGCAGCTGTGGTTTACACTATTGGAGGGAAGATTCGAGGCCGCAAGCATAACCCGAGACAGCACGAAATACGGTTATGCGGTAAGCAGTCTCGACCCAAAATATGCTGTGGAAGTGCGTGACATCGTAGTCAAACCCACGAGTGAGCGTTCATATACTATGTTAAAAAGTGAACTCATTAAGAGAATGATCTCGACACAAGAGCAAAATACGCGCCGACTATTAGAGAACGAACCCCTTGGTGATAGAAAGCCGTCGCAGTTCCTCCGTCATCTTCGCGGACTCGCGGGTGCTGCATTCCCGGAAGAAGTGTTACAGACCTTGTGACTAAGTCGCCTACCTAAACAGGTACATGTCCTTCTTGTGGAGCATAAAGATCTTAACCTGGACAAAAGAGGGGAAATCGCGGATTCAGTGACGGATGTGTATAGCCCGCACGCGGAAGTGTCTGAAGCAACCACCGGCGTAGCCTCCATAAATACACGTTTAGATTACATGCAAAACGCGCTTACTACTGAAAGCAAGAACTTGCTGCTATAAAAATTAGATACCCGGACGACCCACCACGACGTTATACACGGTCCAGGACCCGCTCACGTTCGAGGTCCCGCGACAGAAGACAGGAGAATAACGGTATGTGTTGGTATCATTGGAAGTTCGATCCGTAAGCCAATAAGTACCGAAAACCGTGTAATTACAGCGCAGAAGCTGCGGAAAACGAGAGGAGCAGTAATTGATGGCGGCAGATGACGTTAGCCCAGTGAAATGCCGCTTGTTCGTCATAGACAAATCCACAAATGTAAAATTTTTAATAGACACTGGTGCGGATTTATGTTTACCCGGTTTCTCGCATGACGAAACCACAGAGAAAATCGATCTACGAACTTTCCGCGGCAAATGGTACAGTCATTAACACCCATGGTACCATTAACTTGTCATTAAATCTCTGACTGAGGCGACAATTTGCCTGGAAATTCGTAGTGGCGGACGTGGCCAAACCCATAATAGGCGCCGATTTCCTAGCTCATTACGGGTTACTTATAGACATTCAAAAGGGACAACTACTAGACCAAAATACTTATTTCGCGATGCGAGGTGACCGAATGTGAAACTAGTGTTAAAACTATTTCAGGGACATCAATCTTTCACGAATTGCTGCAACGATTTCCAGAAATTACCCGACCAGACGGGGTGACAAAATTTATCAACCACAATACCAGGCACCATATAATTACGACACCTGACCCGCCGGTTGCGCAACGTCCGCGACGTCTTGTGCCAGAAAAGTTGGAAATTGCGAAACGCGAGTTCGAGACCATGGTGCAACTGGGTATCGCCCGTCCATCACAGAGTTCGTGGACATCGCCATTGCACCTAGTGCCGAAAAAAGACAATGAGTGGAGACCCTGTGGCGATTACCGTGACCTAAACGCGAGGGCACTTCCCGATCGGTATCCTGTGAGACACATCCAGGATTTTTCTCAGATGATTCAAGGTAAAACGGTGTTTAGTACCATTGACTTAGTGCGCGCATTTAACCAGATTCCGGTAACAGTTGAAGATATTCCGAAAACCGCAATTACTATGCCATTCGGACTATTCGAATTTAATTTTATGACTTTCGGATTACGTAATGCTGCTCAGACTTTTCAGCGGTTTATAGACGAAATGCTGCAAGGTTTAGACTTTTGTTTCGCCTACATTGATGATATTTTGGTGGCATCGACGTCGCACAGCGAACAATATTTGCGACACCTCGAGTTGTTATATAAAAGGTTTAATATGGTGTTGTAGTGAATTCCGAGAAGTACATTTTTGGGAGACCTGAGGTAAAATTTCTCGGTTACCTAATTTCTGAAAAAGGCACAAGCCCGCTACCTAAGAAGGTGGACACAATCCGTTCATTTCCCCGTCCAGATACCGTGAAAAAGCTGCGACAATTTTTAGGTATGTTTTCTTTAGGAGATTCTTACCCAATGCCGCACAAACTCAGGCCCCATTGAACGAACTGTTAAAAAGCAATGTGAAGGGAAGAACGCCCATCAACTGGACAGGAGAAGGTATTCGCGCATTTGAGGCTAGTAAGGAGAGTCTAGCCCAAGCAACCTTACTGACACACCCTCAACATAACGCACCACTGGCTATTTTTAGCGATGCATCGAACATTGCCGTACGAGCGTCCCTCCAACAATTTGTAATCGGTACCTGGCAACCCTTAGATTTCTTTTCTAAGAAACTTAATACAGCGGAGCAAAAATATGGAGTCTACGATAGGAAGTTACTGGCCATATTCGCCACTTTCGACTCTGTGCACCGCCTGTCCCACCCTGGAACAAGAACGACGGTCAAGCTAATGACACAACGTTATGTCTGGCCGTCAATAAACGTAAACTGCAGAGAATGGGTGCGTAGTTGTTACTCGCCATGTATCCCCACCTCTTGGAAAATTTGCACCACCCTCAACTAGGTTCGAACACGTACACATCGACATAATTATCATGCCAACATCCGAAGGATATCGGTATTGTCTTACTATGATTGACCGATTTTCTCGCTGGTCAGAAGCTGTACCCCTGTGTGACCAAGAAGCAGCGACAGTTGCTCGAGCTTTTCGACCACTGGATTGCCAGATATGGAACGCCTGTACGAATTACCACCGATCAAGGCAAACAGTTCGAGTCATACCTATTCAGGCACCTAAACTGCTTGTTAGGCGCAACCCACCTAAGGATATCACCCGGCAGCAAATGGTTTAGTGGAACGATTACATAGACAACTGAAGGCAGCAATAATGTACCGTGGCGGTACCAGATGGACGGAGACCTTGTCCACGGTGCTCCTGGAAACTCGTTCAGCCTGGAAAGAGGACATCCAAGGGACAGCAGCAGAACTGGTGTACGGCCAGTCACTACGCATGCCTGGAGAGTTCTTAGTCCCACAACATCCAGACCAAGCCGCTGAAGACGCTGCAGAGTTCGTGAAGTCGCTCCGTCAACTGATGAGAAACTTATGACCCAGTGACGGGTCGCGGCACAATAATCAGAAAATTTTTGTTTTCAAAGACCTCGCCACCATGGATCAGGTTTTTGTACGCCGAGACAGCTCGAAGCGTTTCCTGCAACAGCCATACGACGACCCATTTAAAGTCCTAAAGAGGAACGAGAAAACGTTTGTCGTCCACATCAACGGACGTCTCAATTGATAGACTAAAACCAACCTACATCGCATCCGAGGAAACAATCAACCCGGGTGGTCCTCACGATATCCAGAAATACAATGTCATCAGGGACGTCAGAACCACAAGAGCAGGCAGACGCGTCTGATTCCCAGATGACTGCAAGGCGGATTGAACTAATGTGTATATAGTTTCTCTTTTTTCTTTTCGTTTCTACCGAGTAACGTTAGCACTAGCAGGGGGTACCGTGGGGACACACGTTCCCTGGTACGCTTCTGTGTTCATAGATAATAATATTTACAAATAAGAAGTAGTATAGAAGCTGATTTGCCTGTTTCAGGAATACTTGTCAGTGCCATAAATCCTAATGAATAACGACCCTTCTAGGTAGAATTACCGAAACACTGACCGTACCCTAAGGCAGGTAATCTGGGAACATTCGCGAGTTGACCAGCATTTTGAGCGGTTGTAACTCAGTACCTACTTATTATTTCATTTTTTTATCAATCAGTTACCTAATAAAGAGTTAGAGTGCTACCTTGCGTGATGTTTATTTGGTGGACCACGAATACCCCACAGTAGCAATCACGTAGTCTATAAGCCATTAACAGCAACTGCGGAAGTCTGCAAACCAAGCTAATTATTATTACAATTAATAGATATGAAAGTTCAAAATACCTTTTAGCGAAAAATCTCACCATAGTTGTTGACTTTTATATTAATTTGGTTACTAATTTATTATTATACTTCATACATTTATATCACTGGATTAGTGGAGTGCAGGCTTTCGTGGCTGGTGTCACTGAAGTCGCTCATATTTCCTTTTGCTTCTATTTTTAGTTTAGCTCGTTTGGTAATGGAGAAAACGCCTCACTTACTACTAGCTGGCGCGGGAGCAAATCGTTTCGCCAAAGAGCAAGGAGTTCCAAGTGTTCCTCCAGGCAGTTTGGTTACGAAATATGCACAGAAAGCTCTTGAGGAATTTAAGAGAAAAGGTGGTGATGATAGGACAGAAATAGGCCATAACGCAAGTACCTAATTTATACAATAATATTACCAACCTTTAAAATTAATAAAAAAATATTTCTTTACAAAACGATACTGAAACTCTTTACAACTCTTAAAAGATTGATGTCGACGTGAAACAGTATTCTTTCATCTAAGTACTTAAGAACACTTGATTGAATGAACTTATTTGTAATTCAGTTCACTCAAAATTTGAACCTAAATGTAAAATCTTGTAGGCGTTTCAACTTTCAACTTCAAAATAGTCCGATTAGCAGCAAAATAGTAATTTTATATACATATATTAATCACCAAGTATCACAATTACGCATGCTAACGAGAATTGATCTCAATTCCATCGAACATACTGATTACTTTTAGATAATTGTAGAAAATATTCTCAACAGTAACTAACAATACATTTAGATATTACTAATATTGATTGCAAAGTTGCTACAATTTTGGACAGTTATTTATCATTTTCGTCTTCTCTTAACTTTCTGCTGACATATTATTTTTAGCGAAACTTGCTTCAATGGTAAGAACTTTTCTTAATTTTTTTCGCAAATATTAGTTTTCCTTGTCCTCTCTTCGACTACAAACAAGGACTTCGATCCTCCATGTCTCCTTAGCATTGTTATGTGACCCCTTCCGTATTTAAGAAAAAATTACGTGTATTAATTCAGTCGAACGAGAAACTGTATACTTTCTAATAATATCTAAATATTCCATTATTACGAAAGTTCTTGAAATATTTGCATAAACTACTAATCTGGATCAATTATGCTACGATATGAAGGTTGATAGCATTGTGTTTTAAAGGCCATTGATTTTATAAGCTTCGCTATCTTTATGTTGTGGCAGTCGGTGCTTTGAAACGACTGACAGTTCAAGTATTGAAGCAGAAGAAGAAAGGAGATCAAGTCACAAATGAGAGAGCACATGCGTGCAGAAAAAATAGTATACCTCAGATATTTAAAAATTACGTAGTAAAGCCAACATAAGATAAAATAAGTCTGGATGATCAAATTGTAATCAGGATCAAATAAGCTGTAACGTGAATTAATATGGTTGGTAGCATTTTATTGGCCATTGGCTTTATAAGCTTTATCATGTATATTTAATGTAGAATGAAAAGAAGAAAAGAAGCAATCATAAAGCATAAGATTTAATTTGCATTTTATAAGTATTGTACTCTTTGAACAGAGTACGAGAATTAGCCCATAAGTCGGAAACTTGTGCGGGAGAGGAGGTGGCATATTATTATTAGGCAGGTCGCATTTGCGCCCAGGAACGACTTATGTTGGTAGGCCCTAACCACCATTCAGTGCAGGAATGAGGGAAACCTGGAAAACCTCATTAATTAGGGGGGTGGTAAAATGCTAACCGGTGTCAATCTCTCACATTGACCCAAGCTAACATTCTTCCACCCTACCATACCTGCACAGAGGGTGCCAATCCTCCGTACAAGCATAGCTAATCTACGGGCAGAATTAGCACACGATTTAAGTACTGACGCCTTAAACCGTGCGGCTATCGACCGACTCATATTTACTAGTAAATATCCAAATTCGTACCAATCCTTTTCCTCAAATATCTCAACAATAATTATAGGTATCTAATTATGGAGAAGTTTGTCTAATTTTATTCAAATAAGTGCTAATTTATTCAAGTTTTTAATTATATTAGTGTGCTTAGTTTATTATGCTATACTGCTAATAATGCTCCTAAAATAGTTATAATTTTTAATTTAATTTCATGATTGAAGACTGTATTTTCAACGGCTCTTAAGTAATTATTGTTGCTGTTCCACTAGATACTCATCAAACGATTACAGAAAGAAATAATTTATAAAAGTATAAATTTGAGGTAGAGACTCATAGCAATTATTTAACAGAATCCTGGTGATGTGGGTACCGTTGGCGCCGTTGCTATAGATTCAAAAGGAAATCTCGCTGCAGCTACATCCACCGGTGGTATAAACGGAAAAATGGTTGGCAGAAGCAGTGACACTTGCATGATTGGCAGTGGAACTTACGCAGATGACAATACTGCCGCTATATCCACTACAGGTAATAAATATTGTGCCACTATCACTATATCTAACATTACTTTATTATTTTGTCAATATTTTCTACGAATAAAGAATGTAATAAATAATATATTTTATATATTTTTAGGACATGGAGAGACAATAGCAAAATATTGTTTGGCTCATGCTATTGCAAAGGAAATTGAACATGGAAAATCGGCTCAAAATGCCACTACGGATGTTTTAGAAAAGATGACCGAAAGACTGAAGAACACAGCAGGTTGGTAAATTATGAAAAAAAACTCCTGTCTTTGTAACCGTATAAAATTGCATTTCAGTAATGAAAATAATAGATTACTGTATGGCACATACATTCTGCAAGTTATAATATTAAATTTTGACGTGGAAATTTTCAGTACAGTCTTTAAATGTACGGATTTAGATTTACTTAATTTAGTTTAATCACATTACAGATATCAGTTTCTTTAGAAACAACTATAAAATAGACGACGGAAATTTTAAAACGACTGCTACTTCCCAGAACAAAGACAGCCACATTCAAACATAACCTTCAACGATATCATCTCCTTCCATCACCAAATCCTTGATTTTTTTCATAAAACTTTCGATAATCTAAAAAACCTAATTAACTTTAAGCCCAATTATCTATTTGATGAATTAGATGACACTGACTGAATAGTTTATTATGGTTATTCAAATTTTGTTAATTTATATCAATAATTTTATATTAGTGACAAAACAGTGTCAATATTAGGTATTATTTTGAAAATTATTAAACTGATAATCAATTCTACTATTTTTCGGCAGAAAATGAATCAAATTCAAATTCTAATTATTATCAACAAAATTTTCAGACCAACAAACATGGACTGAATTCAGCCATTGTAGATTCCTTGCTTTATAAACAAATATTTCATCTATGTGTTAAATTATTAATTGGTACTTGATGTACATCAATTTTAAGAAAAGAAAGTTTCCATCCTGTTTCAATTCATCATAACCTTTGTAATTGAAAAACATTTTTAGTGAAAGAGAAATGAGATATGGAATACTTTTACACATCTCCTGATTTTAAAAGTACTTAACCATCAAATTGAATATATTTTATTTAATTTCCTTGGATATTTGTACGCAATTTTAGGCTTTAATGAGTTAATAAAAACAAGCGGAGATTCAATAACATATAAAAATGTAACATAATGTCAAGTCTCGCATATTATAAATTCTGTACTATCTTAGGGTTCCATGTAATTAGGCAACTTTGCCTGTGTGGGATTAAATAAATAAATAAATAAGTCCACCATCATCCTCATCTTAGTCCAGTCGTATTTGAATAGTCCTAAACAAATGGATGTCAGTGGAAAGCAACTATGATATCATTGTAGTATACAAAAGTATATAAAAATTAAAAAAAATAATAATAGGCTATATACAGGGTCGGAAAGTCCCCATGGTTCATCGGCCGTTACGTGAGAGCGATAAAGAGTCATAGAAATCCGTGCGATAGAGAAAGATGGCTATAATGAAGGCGTCTAATAGTCACCGCCCATTTCGCCCTTCCACAAATAAGATCCACTTCTTATTTGAATTCCTAACATGAACGATAATTTTAGTATCTAACAATGTCAATAACAGATCGTAAAAATGCCGCTACACGGGCCTCTTTATGTCACAATTGCCTATGGTCAAACCATGGAACAGAAGAATGCAAAGGTGGTGCTGCCGAGTATGCAGTGGAAATCATCATACATTTTTACACCCCATAAACGGAACATTTCCCAGGTAAAACAGCGAAATAAATCATCTACAAATTCAAATATTCAATCATCATCCTGATAAACGAATTATTCTGAGTTATTTATGCTTATAAAAAATTAATTCGCCACTGAATAAATCGAAGAGCGATTACAACCTTCGTCATACTGTGGCGTATACCAAAAAACGTTAGAATTTCTGGCAGTCTCAGTGTCAATGATCTTCATTCCTGAGTAACATATCAATCGGTCAGACATTCTTATACCTGCAAATTTATGCTACTCCTGTAGAATTGCTAATAGGGGCAGGTAAGTCTCTGGCCACCCCATGCATTAGACAAATAAAGCTTTCAAACCAACAAACAGACCTTATTCTACAAAGAACAAAATGGGGCTGGATACTCGCTGGTAATTGACCAATCCGATACAGATACAACAATCAGTAAAATGTCATATTCTAAATGTCCAGGATGATCTATATAAGATTTGGGAAATCGAAGAAGATGCATCTACCACGAATCGTACCATTTAGGAAGAGGCTTGTGAAGATCACTTCAAGAACCATGCTCAGCGAGATCCTTCAAGTCGTTACATTATCACTTGCGCTTTTCAGTGACAAAGTTAATTCGGAGAGTCTTACCACATGGCTCTCAAACGGTTACACAAATCTTTAGAGAAGGTACTGATCCAGACGTAAAAATTCGATATACCAAGTTATCCAAGTTGAAGATCAGCATAATGGCTTTTTCTTACTTCATCAATCAATCATTAAAGAATCCAGTATGATTGCAAAAATATGTGTAGTGTTTGATGTATCTAGTCCAGTTATTCAAGATAATATTATCTCACTTTTGATATTCAAACTCCATAATTATCTCTTAGCATGCTATGAAGGTGCCTCCATTCATTCCATCAGACTCGAAGCTGTGGTTTACATTGTTGGAAACAACTTATATCAGATATAATTCGAAACAGATCAAAATACAGTTATGACGTAAGTAGTATCGACCCAAGGTACGTTGTGGAAGTGCGCGACATCATAGTTAATCGGATGAAAATTTATCGATAGTCCAGAAACAATTCATTGATTTCAAGTGGATAGAGAATGAAGGTGTTGCTCTTAATGTATCGAAGTTGAAACAGTTGGCGACGAAAATGAAAAATCTCGGAAGCGAAGTTCCATAATCAATGCTGTTGACAGGAATTTTGTGTTCCTTACCGAAGAGATATAATCATTTTCATAGTGCATGAGACTTAGTGGAAGAAAAGAAGAAGAATCTAGAAAACCTAACCGAAGATTATTATCAAGAAGTCAGGAAGACAGTAATTCTAGTGTACGACAACCGAAGTGAAAGTGATGACGACTTCTGGCTAATCGACTCTGGAGCATCGGACTATATGAGGAAACGTCGTGACTGGTTTTATTGGTTATTTTCAAGAATTTAAGAACCCGGTAAATATTGGCATAGGTAACGGTGACTATATGTTAGCATATAGCAAAGGTAAGATTGATGTTGAAACTTTTGCTAACGGCAAACCGATAGCAGCTACTATGTATAACGTATTATATGTATTTTCCTAATTTAAGACAACTTGTTTTCCGTAAAATTGTCGCGAAAAAGGGAATAGATTTTTCTGTAACAGATAATGGACAGCAATGTATATTTAATCGTGGTAAAACAGTTATAACGACAGGATCTGAAATTGGTAATTTGTATAAAGTAAATATGCGCGTCCTAGTACCGAAAAACTGCAATTTAAATGATAAAGGAGAATCAAAATCTATCTCTGATGAATTATTACAATTATAGCATGAAAGACTGTCATCAAAATATTAAGCATGTAAAGAGTGTTTTAAAGAACATTAATATAAATGTGTTAGATACTGAGATATTCTGTGAGGGTTGTGCTTATGGTAAGCAACATCGGCTGAGTTTTCATGAGAAAGTTGAACGGGCTACCAAAGTTCGAGAACTAATATATATTGATGCGTGTGATCCTATAGAAGTATAATCTCTCTCAGAAACAACTGTATTTTTTTATTTTTAGAGATGATTTTTCGGGGTTTAGACAGATTTATTTCATTAGACACAAATCTGAAGTTGCACTGAAGTTATTTTGCACTGAAATTGAAAATTTAATAAAAATGTTAAGAAATTCATAGCGATGGTGGTAAAGAGTTCAAAAAGAAACTAGTAGAAAATTATTTGAATAGCAAAGGAGCAAAATATACAATAAATGTCCCGTATACACCTGAACAAAAAGGTATTGCATAAAGAGAAAATATAATATTAGCCCCGAGATCAATGATTCACTCTAATCCCATTTTACCCTTGTTTTTGTGGGCAGAGGCTATGAACACGCTGTAGTACATGTTTTAAATCGAACAAGAGGTAAAGAAGAAAACGTGAGTGACTGTTACAGAAGGGAGTGACTTGTGTAAGAAAAAAAAGCAAGAAAGAATGGCATCTGCAAGTATGAAAATTGAGAAACTGTGTGATAAAAAAATACTCCAATGGCGTTTTATCGTAGGTACGTTACTGGGGGAAGACGAAGTTTGCGAAGGGTTAGTTCATCCAGAAGAAGGCTCGCCTAACTATGGGATACCACTGACAAGATAAAGGCAGATAAGGCTGTAAAAAAAATGATTACTACGGCAGTAGAGAAAAAACCGTTTTATTTACTTTTAAGTTGCACAAATGCACAAAGAGAAAATATTGAATTCCGTAGGTATATGATATGAACTCGAATAAAAATCGATAGCATAAAAGCGATTTTTGGTTTCAGGTGGAGAGCAAATGAAAATGTTGCTCACAATTTGTCGTAGTTGAAACAGTTGGCGATAGAAATGAAGAGTCTTGGAAGCGAAGTTCCAGAATAAATGTTATTTACACTTGTCTTGTCTACTTTACCAAAGAAATTTAATCACCGTCATAGTGAGTGGGATTGTATGGAAGAAAAGAAGAAAAAATTAGAAAATCTCAAACGCGAGATTAATGGCAGAAAGAATTAAAGTACAAGAGCAAGATGATATTCAAGAAACGTCCGGAGGATTAATTGCAAGGTCCAGTAATAAATTTTCAAGGCAAGGGCAATCTAGGCAGTTTCAAAATGAAAGTGAGAAAAGAAGCTAGTTGTTATAATTGAAGCAGAGCAAGTCATATGAATAGGAACTATTACAGGTATTAACTCAAGACAAGAAACAGTAAGAAGTCAAGACGCTGATAATTCGACTATGATGGCAAAACCGGCACTAATAGGGAACAGATGTGATAGTGGCTGATCGAATCAGGAGCATCGGATCATATGACGAATCTCGTGATTAGTTTAGTGTTTTTCAAGAATTTGGGACTCCGGTGAAACAGTGGCAACAACAGGGTATGAAGTTGGTAATTTATATAAATTAAATATACGTCTTAGTACCAAAAATTTAAGTGATGTAGTAAACTCAAAACCTATTTCTAACTAAACTGATACACTGCAGCTATGGCATGAACGACTTTGT